CTTTGTCACCATTAGTCCAGATCTCATGAGGTCTGGATGGCAAAGACACAACCCCAAGGTGGGAGGAAGGGGAGGTGCAAAGCTCCAGAGAATCATAGAATCATAGATTAGTTTGGATTGGAAGGGACCTTTAAATGTCATCTAGTCCAACCCCCCTGCCATGGGCAGGGACATCTTCAACTAGATCAGAAGTACAAGAGCGACTCTCCAGAGTAAACTGCTAAGATGGGGATGAGAGTCTGCAGGACTGTATGGTGAGGGTGCAGCAGGGTTCAGGACCCCACTATGTTGGGCATGGAGGAAACAAAGATACAGCCAAAAAGAAGCAAGATGAAAAATAAAGATAATGGTTTTTGGCTTGTTGGGGTTTTTTTGTCGGGTTTTTTGTTTGGGTTTTTTTTGTTGTTTTTTCTACAACAGGATGGTGGAGAAGTGTCTTCACTGAGAGGCAAAGGCAGGTGGAAGCATGCACATGGCAGACATGCCTTCTGTTAGGCTGGCAACCCTGCAGTAGCATGATCTGTTTTCCATGCTATGCATAGGGGAAACAAAGAGCTTGCAGGTAGAGATGTACCCCACTTGACCCTTCTTGTACCTGGTCTAGCCAGGTGCATGAAGCTCTTGGGTCTGTGCTCAGCCTCTCCAAAGATTTATGGGCTTCAGATTAACCCTTCTAATCTTGGACGTTTAGGGACAAACCCTGGAGGTGGTGGAGTGAGTCTGGGCTTGGTTTGACCAAGCCCTAGCAAGGCAGAAGAGCCCTTAGAATCTCCTTGCAGAGGTGGAATAACATTTTAGCCCTCTGCAGCTGGTGTTTGCAGAATGTGGCCCCAGCAGGTTGCTTTAGGTCTCAGGTGGCAGACCTGGGAATTAACCAGGATCTCTTGGGTCCCAAACCAGACCCACCTCATTCTCAGGAGACCTGGGCTTTGCTCTGCTCTCTGACATGCATGTGTCTATGCCTCACTTTCCTGTCTCTGCGTGGTAATGTTTCAACATCACAGAGGTGTCGTGAAGTTTAATTAGCTCCAGGCAAAGCCCTTTGAGATCCTCAGATGAGAAATGCTATAGAAGCACAAAGTATTAATTTAACATTATTAAAATAATTGGCTAGTGGATGGTGAACAGAGGGTTAGCGTTAGCGGTATTTATTCTTAATGGGAGATGAGGAGGAAATAACATTCCTCATGGTTCAGCGATAGGACCAGTTTCTTAGTGTTTGTACTAATGGTTTGGACAGAAGCAGGACTCTCTCAATTGTTAAAGATGTAGCTGATAATGAAATAGCAGGTGTTATTAAGACGTACAGAGAAGTGCCATGTCTACACCATAATCTTATGCAAATAAGTTCAGGAGTGGAATATGCTCTTTTAGGTGTCTTAAGTGTAATGTGATGCCACTGGGTGGGAGTTACGCACCAGCTAATTATAGCATGAATAGCGTTGAATTAGGTTATATGGCAGTGGAAAGTGATCTCGACATATTGACAGACCCAGCATGTTAGAATTACTGATATTTTATTAAAGCGGAACAATTATTGGCAGTACAAGGTATTTTTTCTGCATAAGCCATAGTAGATGCACCAGATGAGAGTGCAGCAGAGTCAAGCACTCTCCCAGGGCCCAAAGTACACTCTGACTCTCAACAGAGACAACAGAAATGATTAGTTGGGGTTGGGATATTTCATTATCCCTTTCACAGTCCAGCTGCCGTGTGCAGGCAGCTGCCTTCCAGGTGACCACTTTTCTAAGGCAGGCCCTTGTGTCTGGAAGTACTTATTTATTAAAAGTCCCATTTGCCTTTATTTACAATTTGCTGAACTTACTTTTTGGGCTGCGATGTCCCCTCTGGGCAGCTGCCTTCAGCGGCTGGGTGCTTTGCTATGTTTTTTTCTGCTTTTCAGCCAACACCATTCAGGGATTTGAGAGGCTGATGCTGGAGGGCAATACTTTGCTCTGCACATGCTGAAATGATTTTCTCTACTGTTTCCCCCCACTTTTGGCAGTGCAGAGGAAGACTGGAGGGAGAAGGTTACTTTATGACAGGTCTGTACCTTTTTCTGCTTCCCTGAAAATCCACCACATTTTGCTTCTGAAGAATCTCAGTTGCAGGAGCTGGACAGGCGCCTGGGAGAGCGTGGTGTGTAAACCCACAGGATACTCTGCATGCTCTGGCTCCGGATAGATAAGGTGGTCAAGGAGGAAGCAATGGGGGAAACCAAAAGGCTCTGGAGAAGAGCTCCCATAACTCCTTTCTGCATGGACAAACCTGCAAAACCCACTAGCAGGCAGTTCCATCCCTTGAGGCTTGATTTATGCAGCTGGGATCAGTTACCTGGGATGAATTATGCTGCTAGCTCAAGGAAGGGGTCTGTGATGTTGACTCGAGAGCCTGAACCCTGCCGGTGACCCAGACCCCAGCTTGGTTTGGTTCAGCTTGGCAGAACTCCCCCATCATCAGACTCAGGCATCAGGCACAGCTGGGTGTTTTGGGGCCTCCTCCCCTCCCTCTCCTTTGTTTTAAATTGAGAAATTGCATTGAAAAAGTCAGACAGTCAAAGTCAAAAGTTAGGAAGTGGCGGAATCAAGGTCACCCGTGGAAAAAAGGAATAATAATGTAATTAAAGTCTGGCTTGCAGCGTGTCAGTGCAGGGAGCAGATTTAGGAGTGCAGAAGCTACTTTCAGTCTGGCAATATCTAATTCCTGAGAGCCTGACACTGCAACCTCAACATTAAAATATTAACATGTTTTAATATATTAAAACCAGGCTTAGTTTGCTTTGGTTTTTCATCATTTCATTATTGGGGTGACAACACACCTTACAACAGATATCAAGGCTGCAAGACACATCAGTTTAATATAGAGTGAGTTTTTGGTCTGAAGAGTTACATGTCTTAAATGCTTATGACCGGCAAACAGCAAGATAAGATGCTGATTATTATATTCCTGCTCAGTGGCAGGGCTGGGAATACAAACCACGTTCCTAGATGCTTAACCTATACCCATGTGTTGTCCTCCTGTGCAAATGTGCTAGATGTGTTTGCAACCTACTGTGCTATTACACTTGAACTGAGCCTGGGTATCTGCCTGTTTAATTTGAGAAAATCCAGACATTTCTGTCGTGCTGCAGCTGGAGGAAATAAATGAGAGGTAGCAGGACATCTTGAAGAATTCGGGTGCTTGTGTTTTAATACTAAGCCCAAAAGGGTTTCCTTCCAAGCTATTCTCAGGAGAGGAGTTCCCGCACCCTGCAGATCTTTGATGGGATTGCTGTGTCTATTTGTTTTACAGAAGTGCTTACAAAAATCTCAGGTCAGCATTTTGCCGTGGCTTTCGTTCCGTGATAGAGGACTTAGAGTTTTGGGAGTAGTTAATCAGCTATCCATCCAACCCTCTAGAGACTGCACATTTAAAATTCCTGATCCAGCATGCAGCAGCGCTAAAGGAGACTTAAAGGGATGAAGGCTCCTAGGGAACGGAGAGTGGGAGCCGCAATGCTGCTCTTGCTCTCTCAAATCTGCAAAGAGAGTGGGAGCCAAAATGCTGCTCTTGCTCTCTCAAATCTGCAAAGCAAACTGAGAGCATTCTGAGAATGGCAGAGATCTCCCTTTATGATTACTGCTGCTGGAAATACAAAACTTTCCTCTACCAGAAAGATGGAGCAATTTGAGTTTGAAATCAGGATGCTCATTTTATCTAGCATCAGCCACTAGAGAGAAGCCAAGCACTGAAGTTTTAGGCCAGACCCCAAGCTTTGTAATATTCAGGCTTAGCCATATATTGGCTTGTTTTTGCATGTGTTGCCTTAGATCCCCATGCATATAGGCACAATCTGTTCCAGGGAGCAAGGACATTGAGGGGTGATCTTGGAGCTAACCCTTCCAGCAGCCCCCATGTCCTCTCACAACTAAGACTCCGAAGTCTGGGAGTGGGTGAATAATTTAACATCCGCACTTAGTCTTTATAGCTGATTTTAATGGGGGGTAATAGCACTGCTAATAACAAAATCCATTGAAGACACCCTGTGCAAGTCCATAACATTAGCTTAATAGCAAAAGGTAATTGGCATGCAGTTGGAGCTGTCCTTTTGTATTAACCCTGTGGATTTCTAGGCAGACATCTACCTTGAAGCAATGGCCTTGGCAGTGCATATGGAGTAAAATACAGATGTGTTTTATGCTAAGCAAATGCAAATCTGGATTGAAACAGGGCGCACCTCTACCAATTCACGTTGCTGGTTTGGGTTTACACCGGACAGACAAGACAAGAGGCAGTGACAGTGCTGAAAGCACTGACAACAATTAGTGCGTGGTGTGAGCTTCGTGGGCTTGTGCAGCCCAGATGCCGTGCACCCACCACTTTCACTGAACTGTCACCAGAATTTTTAAGATTCACCCCTGGGCACCTCTAGTCAGGCACTTTCAAACCAGATGCCAAAACCCCCTTAATCTGCCAGGGACTACTTAGCAGCTGTTAAGCAATGGATTGGAGGGCTGCCCCTTCCCAGCAGAGCGGAACCAGCAGCCCAGAAGTACCACAGATCTGCAGTCTCCTCAGCAGGTCCAAAGAGCATGGGCTATGCACAGCTACTCTAAAAGGACATCCCCACCTAAGATGTCCCACTGCCCTTGGAAAGGACAGTTTTCAGGACTGTGGGTTTGCCCAGGGGAAGGTTACGCTGTACCTGCTATGTGGGTAGAGAGACAGAGCATGTTTAGAGCTGTGCATTCTGCCCAAGTGATGGGGCTTTCACCCAAAATCCTTCCTCCTTTCATGGTGTCCTTGCAACTCTCCAGCCTGCTGAGCAATTCCACGGCTGCTAGCACAGGAGTCGGAGTGCTCCAGGACATGAGCGTGGTTTTCCAGCTAGTGCGGTCCCAAGAGGGTACAGTGTTGACTTCCCAATCAAAATGATTGCTCCTCCCATGTCTCAGGGTTGTCCTCACCCTCCCAGCCTGGCTTTGTGTTAACTCTGTCCCTCTCTGTTCCCGTTTGCTCAGGTGCACGAGGAAGGAGCGGTGCGAGCGCTCCAGCGAGCCTCGGAGATTCGCCTCGGAGATGAAGCAGTGTGTCCGGCTTACCGTGCATCCCAACAACATCTCCGTCTCCCAGTACAACGTATTGGTGAGGAACGTTAATCCTTGTCCCCCTCAGGTTTAATCTGCCCATGCAGTCTGACAGTCCCAGGTACGTGCAACCTGAGTTCAGCACGAGCGGGCAGGACTGGCAGCTTAATGCAAGATGTTCTCCAGAGTCCATTTATTTCCCCAGCAACTTTTCTGGCCCAGAGGAAGATTCACCAAGGAAGAACATTTTGGCCTTGGTTATCCCCTGTCTAAAAGAGTGGAAGAGGCTTCTCTGTTTGCTGTGAGGAGCTGAGGGCAGGTCTCAAGGGACTTTGTGCCCTGCAAGTGTTGTGTGCATACAGTGTAATTGTTCACTTCCTTGGGAGAGGTTTTTGTGTATGGCTGGGCATGGACTTTAGGCAAGGGACATTATCATGTAATAATGAAATGACCTTCTAGGATAAGGACAAGTGAGGGACACCACGTGTTATTTCAATAAGCTCCAATTTTCTATCATCTTGGGTGGAAGTGTGTCTTTCTTAAGCCACCAAGAACTCCACCCTGCTGCAGCTCCAGCACCAAGTATGCAGAGCAGAGAGGCAGAATGCTATGCAGAGGAACCTAAAACCGCCAAGGTTCATGATCTCTTGTGACCTTCCTCAGCACAGTTTAGCCTTTATGGCCTCGAGCTACTCAAGTCAGCAGCCAACAAAGCCACACAGTGAACGCTGGCAGAGCAGTAGATGATCCTGATCATTTTCTGGGCTTGAGGCAAGAAATCTCTGTTGAAGATCTAACCGGTTTGTGGTTTCTCTCCTGACTCATGACAGCAGTACCTTATGTGAGATCCCAACACCCTCTGAGAAGGAGGCAGAGACATATTTCATTCAGGCTACTAGGGCTCTGTCCTTTTGGCTATACTAGTTTGGGCTGGAATTGAGTTGATAACCCAGGCCCATCTCTGGATGAGTTATTCACTAGCCCCACCATCCTGAAATAGTGTTGCTCAAGGTGCAGCTGCCAGACATTTTCCAGGTGACTGGTTTTGGAGTGCTGGGGTTTCTTCAGTGATAATGAAATCAGCCTTTCAAAGCCTGCATGTCCAACCATTGCTGCTTTGTTTCAGCCTCTTAACTTTGCTGTGACTTTACTTTCCTAGGCTTCAAACAAAACTGATCTGAGACATCTTGAGTCCTTTGTTCTTCTGGGAGTTCAAGGTTTCTTTTTCTTATTCTCTCAGTAGTCGTTGAATTCTTTCATGTTGAAACAAATCCTGGGGGACTAGCTGGCTCAGGACTATTGAAATTTTATAACAGAATAAAAGACCTTTACCTCTAGGTTACTCTGGCAGGGCAAGTCAACCCAGAGCTGCTGGGATCAGAAGTTGCCATTGTCTGCCGTTATTGTTGCCCAATAATCTGCATGAACATTTCCATGGGAGTCTCAGCCCAGTCCCAGACAGACTGGTATGTCCCAGCTCATCCAGAGTCACCACAGATAGTATCTTGGCAAATCAGGAGGGGAGCACCAACAAACAAATGGCTGGTGGTGTCCATACTGAGTCTCATATGGGTTCTAGCAAATAGTCAATGATACTGAGCTATTGCCCACAGAGGCAGAGAAGGTATCTGTGTGGCCAGACAATCTTTTAGACTTTGGGCACTAACAGGGACTTGGAAAATTGTATCTGAGTCTGTTTCAGTCCGGGGACTTGGAAAATTGACTCTGTTTCAATCCAAGGCTGCTGCTCTGCGACCTCTGAGAAGAGATACTTGTTGGGGGAAGGCTGCATTCTTCTCTCATCACAGCAGCTCCAGAGCAGGCGTATGGGATGTAGGACCTCTTCTCTGTCCAGAGTGTGCACTGGTTCATGACGTTTGTTGCCAAGTACTACTGGTCTATCCACTGGTGTTATCTTCTGCATGGCACACTTTCATTTTGCATTGCCCATGCTCAGAGAGAAATATTTGTTAAGCAGAATAGTTTCCCTTTCTCCATTGCTAGCAGTGTATTAATGAGCAGGGAGAATGGATTTAGCCTGAATGCTAAATACATCCAAATAACCAAAGCTTTTTCCTACTCCCCATCCAAGACAAAAAAATCGCCTTTCCCATTGCCATTCCCATTGCCCAAAAATGAACATACTCTCGCAAAGGCTTTATGTCAGCCAGGACTAAGGTCTGTCTGCTCAGCCTTTCTCCCTGATGGTGCCTTGTGTGAAGAAACAGCTCCAAGCCTTCTCTAAGTGAGGAAAACACAGTGTGTGGGATAACATTATGTTATGTTATCATCCTCTCCTGCTTTGTCACCTGGACTGACCTCCTCTGTTCTTTGTGCTGGTAGAAACAACACTTCAGCATGCATTTGTGTCTCCTTTCAGTGACTGTCATCTCAGATGGGGCCTCAGCTAGCTCATGGAGGAGGCAAGTGTGGAGAGCATCCGCATTTGTGCCTGCGTCAAGTGGCTGGCTCTAGTGGTTGGTCGCAAAACCTCTGAATTTATACTAACTAGCAGGTGCTAGAAGTATCCTTGGATGCCTCTCTGTGTTCAGACATGGTCTAGTGGGTTGGGCAGAACCCCCAATGATAGAAAGCAGTGGTACAAGACCTTAGCTGGTCTGGGAAATTAGCAGCATGAGGGTCCTTCTCCAGAGAATAAACATGGTGAAAACCAGCCATAGGATTCCTTTCCTTCATGACCATGGGCAATGACATAGCAATGCCGGTGGGTGTTGTGAACTCTAAAAACATGGGCAATTCCTCCTTCACAGCTTTTTTGTGTATGGCAGCCCAATACAACACGTCCCCAGGGCCAACTGTTTCTTTGGTGGGATGGGCAGGAGAGGTTTGCTGTGCCTCTAGAGAGAGCGTTTTTTTGTGGTGGACTGAAGGCTGTAACTAGACTCTCCTTACACAGGAACTTGGTGACAGAGCGCTCCCCCATCTGCTGATGCTAGGAGAGCAGGCCGTAGAGAGTTAGACTGGAGCGCTACAGTTTCTCTGTAGTCTGCAGAGTGCCTCTTGTGAGTAGTAGTCACCTTCCTCAGAAACCGCGTGCCTTGGGGCCACCAAAGCCCTGGTCTTCACAACTGGCTCCAAAAACTCCCTGCCTAACCTTACACTTGCATGACAGACAGTGAGCACTCCCTCCCCTCCACTGACCCAGCCAGCACTGGGATGCAGTGCCGTTGTCCCTGCATAGCCACGTACCACTTGTGTCGGCATCAGCATCTCATCCCCTTCCCCCTCCGCGCACACATCCCTCTCCTGAATCGCTGCTTTCTGTTGAAGGAGGATGCTCTCTCTAGCAAGAGGCTCTTTGTCCAACCTCTCCAGTGTAATTCTTGCCTGCTGACCCAGCTCTGTTGTTCGGCTTAGTATTCTCTCTTTTCTTTTTTTCTCTCTCTTCTTCCCTACCTCCATCTTTGCTTGCAGCTGGTCTTGGAGACCTACAATGTCCCCGAGCTGTCAGCAGGAGTCAATTGCACCTTCGAGGACCTTTCGGAGATGGATGGCTTGGTGGTGGGCAGTCAGATCCAATGCATCTCGCCAGCTGCCAAAGAGGTGCCCCAGATCATCACAGAGAACGGTGGGTATCCCACAGCTCCTCCATTTGCACCACTTCTCCCTCCCTTCCTCACCCCACACCCCTGTATCTCTCCTTCTGCTTTCTCCCAAAGCAGAGTTTGGCTCACGAGAGCCTGAGGACAGGGTATCAAAGCACAGGGAGTAGGTGGGACGCTGTGCCTTTGCTCGTTGGTGGAGCTGCACAGCGACACGTCGTAGCATGAGTTGTCTGAATGTGTGTGTGTTTATGTGTGCACACATGGGCAAGCATTGAGCTGCAATACCAATACCTGCGTTAAGGTGCTTATACGTGTGATACTATGTGTTTTCAGACTGCCACCGAGTGGCAGTTGCATATATCTAGCAAAGACAAGAGATGGATGTGGGATATTCACTCACTTTTTGCCCAGGCTGGTGTTACACAGCCCAGGGAATGAGGCTGTACACGCTCTCAACACATCCCATCCCCTGCAGCAGGCAGAAAGTCCTGCAGACCTGAACGATCCTGCCTGTAACTTCATCCCGCTCCTCCCAGATTTAGATCTGTATGCTCAGTTCCTTCTCTCTGTCCCTGGCCTTTACTGCCTTCAGCTAATCCAGGTTTGCTACTGGCTCTCTCTCCCAAAGTGGTCCAGCACAGAAAAATACCTTGTCTCCAAGGATGGTCCCCCCACCCACAACTTCCTGCCCTTTTTGGTTTCCCTTTTCTAACAACTTTTCTAGGTACTTTCAAGAGCACCTGTGGCTCTTTGCAGGGACTTACTATAAAAACCTCGACCCTGTTGATCACCCCAAGACATGCAAAAAGGATGCTGCCATTTTTGTCCTAGGCTTTTTGTGAAAATTTACTGTGAAGTTTGTCTCTGAGGATCCTCACGCCACAGAAAATGAAGTGACATGAACTGTCACCACCATCTCTGCTCTCCCCAAGCTGCACACAGCTGCATGTGCTCTCCATTGTGGTCCCAAAACAAGCCCCCAAAGGGCTGTTACCGTTTTCATGAGTTATCAGTCATGTTTGCCTACCAAGATAGATGCCAGAAACTATTTCGCTGGTATGGACATCTGTCCCAGGCCAGGCTATAATCAACCAGCAAACAGAAAGAGCCATGGAAGCTGGAGGCAGGACAAGGGAGAGAGATTTACGTGAAGCATGGTTTCCAGAGAAGCTGGGCACCTGCAGCTTCTATCAACTTCAGCAGCTGGTGCTCCACACCTCTGCAAAGACCAAGTCCTCCATGCATAGTACCAGAAGTTGGATCTGAACCAAAGGATGTGCGGTTCTGTAGCACATCTGATCCCTGGAGCCATCCAATCCTCACATCCTGTTTTAAAATATATGCAAGACGCTGGCAAAGTTGTTAAATATGAAGTGGTTAACAGAGCTGTCAAAGCCGGCGGCAGCAGATGGGCAGCAGAGTCGAGCACTAGAAGCAAAATGTGTTTAGTGAAGTGAGTGGTGTCTGTGTGCATGTGTGTGTGTGTGCCTGTAGGTGGGTGAGCATGCACGCAGGCACACGCTGCGACGAATTGTCAACTTTGCTTTGGCCTGATTGATTAATGAATCTTTCAGGTGAGGAGGAAAATAATAAAGGTGAAAGGGCCAGCCAGGTTGAAGTCTTGAATTAAACATGGTCCCTTTCCCACCAAATTACTGCACCCACTCGCTACCCACAGCTGATGGGCTCTGAATAGGTCTTTTGGCATTGTAGGAAGAGGTAACAGTTGACTGCCCAGCATGGGAGCAGCGGGAAAGGGAATAAGGACATGGTGTGTAGGAGGTGAGGTGCAGGCTTTCGTGTGGATGGCTCTGCTATGGAAACGGATTAGTCCTCCTGGAAGTGCAATGGCTTGTGGATGTCCCTCACGCTGAGCTGGGTTCTTTGTAGCCGAAGGCTTGGGTGAATGGACCTTGGGGTGAATGGGGTGAGTGAACCTGGAGGAATTGCTCACGTGGGAATCTCCCTGTTCGTCAGCATTTCCCAGGCTGCGGATAGGGAGCCCCTATCCTGCCCTCACTGTTATGGTACCTATCCTCCTTTCTCATTCCTCTGTCCTGCTTTATCAAGGTATAACCTCTCTTTGGGGCAGGTGGCTTTCTTCAGGCATGGTTGTCCCGAATATTGGGCCCTATTCAGAGATGTTAAATAACGAGGGTGAGGAGAAAGTAGATCTTTCTTTATCCCCTCAGGAAAGCAGGTATGTTTATCCTTCAGGCAGTGTATGCACAGGCCACCAATATTTGGGTCCAGCAGTCAAATCTTCCACAGGCCCCTTCCTTCTGGAGACATCAAATGAACCAGCAGCAAGGAAGAACTTTAAGGACAGTACTCCATTTTAACAGCCTCCTAATTCCAGACATCTGCGTCCTCTCTTTGAGCTTAGCTTTCCTACTAGATGACTTCAGTCACCATATTTTTGAAATTAGTGAGGTATGGTCTAGACCTGTCGTCATCATCCAGCCCAGACTCTGCTCCTGGGTACGATAATTTCCAGTGGTGAAGACATATTCCATCACGCCAATACTGTAAGAGGGGGGAGATGTACTTGTTGGAGAACGAGGCTCTAGAAGGATTTTCTTGCACTTCCTACAGCTATTGAGTATACACTAGCCAAGGTACTGTGGGACAGCACCAGGTTCAGACTGGTGGCATGGCCAATAGGGCTTAACTACGCTAACAAAGCAGTCACACACTGACGTGTATATTTTTTTCCCCAGGAGACCATCACATTGTCCAGCTTCAGCTCAAGTCCAAGGAAACGGGTATGACCTTTGCCAGCACCAGCTTCGTCTTCTACAACTGCAGCGTTCACAACTCGTATGTTCATTTCTTTTGATACCTGCTTTCCATTCCACCCCTGGATCTGCCACAGAACCCACAGCTGGCTGGGGCACATGTCCCTCAGGAAGTTGGTTAGGTGTGGAGGAGACCAGGGGTCAGGGTGTGACCAGTGACACAGGATCACTTGGGTGATGGTCAGCATGGTGGGGTGTCTCCTGGGAAGACCAAGAGTAGTATAGTGAGCATTTGTTAGGCTGATGAGCGTCCTTTGCAGGAAGGCATTGCCTTGGGGAGTGGTACATCCTCATGTGTCCCTCAGGCAGAGGAGCATCACGTCAGTGGGACTTTGCCAGGGAAGAGAGTCATGACCTCAGCAAATGATCCCCTCATCTTCTTATTAAGCAGTTGTTTGTGGATGGCTGAATCCTGCCCACACATACGCACTTCCAACCCTCGTCCATGTTATGAGTCCCACCAGTAGGACCCTGCCCCAGGTGGTTAGCATGGTCTTGGGCCCTCAGATCTGGAAAGACAGGAGTTGCTGGTTCCTGCATAATGTGAACTGAGCAGGGAACACCCAGGTGATTCCCTCAAGACCATCTTTTCCATCCTGAGATCGCCTTTCCTGCCCTGCACCCCATTCTTCTGGGGTTTAGCTGGCACCCAGAGCTGCTCAGGTGCTGCCCCACCGGAGCGGGTCTGCAGCTTTCCTGCAGAAAGATGCTCTTCCAGCAGGTTGATCCACCCCTGAGCAAGGCTCAATGGCTCTGTCCCCACCACTGAGCCTTCAGAAGTGCCAAGAGCAGATAATTACTGCGGCTCAGCAATTCACAAGGAAAGGCAAATCCTATTTCCGTGTTCCTGCTGCTTTGACAAACAGTGTCAGAAAGCAAGTGTTGGGGGGGAGAGCAGGAAAGATGGTGGTGTTAAATATTTATGGCATGTTTTGGTTTCTTACTTGACAAACTATAATACACTATCCATTTTTAATTTGATGTATCAGAGCAAGCACTTGTTACCATTTGAAGAACAGCTCGCTGTACCAGAGCTGAAAGCGGATTGGAGCTGAGCGAGATTTCACAGAGACAAGGGGAAGGGTGTGCGTCTGCCTGTTGGGCTCAGCCAAGCTCGACTGGAGGCAATTTTTTTACTCCTGCCCATTAAAATCCTGGTGACACATAAGGGCCAGGAAAGTTTCCCCCCCCAAGTCCCCTCCAGGTACTTCAGAGCCTGCAGCTGCACAAAGATCTCCAGCGGTGTGAGTGACCAGGAGTTGTTACCATCCACTACTTGTTTTGTGTGGAGAGCTTGTTATGGCTCAGTTTAGTTGCTGGTGAGCAGACACCGTATTAAATTTAAAAAAAAAATGTGATGTAGGTATAAGTCAGTGCTGTAACACAGCCAGGAGAGGTGTTTGCAGCTAAGGAGAGCAAAACCTTGTAAGATGGAAGGAATGGCTCTTTCCTGCACCCTGAGTAGGTGACTTCCTAAATATGCCCTCTGCTTCCCGGGCAGCTGCTATAATAGTCTTTCCTTCTCTGCTGAGACAAAGAAAAGAAGAATAGAATTAAGAGTTTGCAGGAGTCACATCACCCTGGGCAAATCTCACACTAATAAACATGTGGGATGCAGGGGGAGAAAACTCCCTGCTTCATCTTTGGCTTTCTGACCTTGGTGCATCCCAGTTTGTTTTTGGTCTTGTGGCGTGTGTGAGTGGGAGGATTGGCCAGCTGGGTCTACTGGTGCACAGGGACTCCCCTCCATGGGCACCACTCCACCCACCAGCCCCTCCCTCGGCCACCTTCCCACGATGTGTTCACAGCTCCCAGGCCACCGGTGCAATTCAACGTGGAGGTAGCAAGGCTGTAGCAGCTTCCACCCATCCCCTGATCTTGTATTTTTTGTTACATTCAGGATTTTGTTATGGGCAAAAAGGGGAACACCTCTTATGTATGAAGCTGAGAACTTCTTGATAGTCTGATTAAAAGTTGTAACAGGGCAACCAAAATACGACAATTATTATTATTACTCTAGTTACAACGACATGAATGCAATCTAAATTATCTAATTAATATGAGACACTTGTGATCACAGTGACAACCAGCTCAGGCCTTGGCAAGTCCGGCATCATCCTGAGACCTGATGGTGTTGGGTCAGTGCAAAGCCCATGGCCTTGTGCTAGTGATGGCAAAAGCAATGTTTGCCGGGCTATATTTCCCTCTGAGAAACACTATCAGCCTCAAGGTCTGTCCTGTTGGCCGATGGGACCTGGCTGGTCTAGTGACTACTCTTTCTCTTTATTTCCAGGTGTCTGTCATGCGTGGAGAGCCCTTACCGGTGTCACTGGTGCAAGTACCGCCATGTCTGCACTCATGACCCCAGCTCCTGCTCCTTCCAGGAGGGACGAGTCAAGCTGCCCGAGGTAGGCTGGGGCACAGGGCATGCATCCCATACGTGGGCTGCTCAGGGCTGATGTCACCTTTTGGCTTGGGTCAGACCAACAGCCCAGGAAGCTTTCTCCACCTCCAGTCCCACCCTCTCCCTCTTCTGTTCACCCTTCAGGAGACCCTCACCTTTCCCTCTGCAGATAGCTCCTCTCCTCTCTGCTCCACCAGACCCTCAGGGAGCTGCCCGCTCCTTTCTATACACTACAGAGAGCGTGTTACCTCAGAAAGTCACTGCAAGCACCCAGCACCAAGCGACTGGGAGGCATGGGAAACACTGGGCATGCATCTCCTCCAGGAAAGAAGGAGGTTGCCTCTAAGCAGATACCCCAGCTGAGATCTGGGGAGGATTTAGGGCTATGTCCACAATGTCAGTGGATTTCAGCCGTGCTTTGAGGACCTCTGTAGCTTTGTGGGTTTGGTGCCTATTGGCCAAAGCATCAAACTGCCTCAAGACGAGGCCAAGGAACGTCTCATTGGCAGTCACTGAACTGAACTGGACCTTGGGGCTTAATACAGAGCTGGCTGCTGTGCTGCAAATGCTGTCTGGCTTGTATTGTAACTAACGAGCACTTGCAGACAAGTGGAGCTCGGGAGAATACAAATAGGAAGCCACTTAATTACTTCCTGGTCAGGAATGGTCTGAAAGCATCCTGGCCTGTCTGGTAAATGACCTGAGATGGCTCGTTGTTTGTCTGGCCCAAGGGACCAGTACCCATCAAGAGATTTGATATCTGCTGAAAAGACTCCGACAATGCGTGTCATGTTCAGAGGATGAAATCCCCACTGCTCCCTCTGCTGCCTGCTGGGTCTGGTGTCTCTAATATGTTCCCCCACCTACCCCCAGCCCATGCCCCAGGCAAGCCAGTTTGCTGGACCAAATGACACACATGTAGTGTCTTCACGCCCCTATGGCATCCCCACTTCCCTCCCACCCCTTCCTTATGCGCTGGTTGAGATGTCACATATGTGTTGGTTAAGGCGTCCTCGAGCAGACATCCTGAACTGCTGTGGCATTGGGACAGGCCATAAATATTCATGAGCAGGGAGGTTGCCAATTCTTCATCTACCAGGATTCAGAATTTGCTGTAAACGTGCTGGAAACCTTGCTGAGGAGCTGGAGGGTTTGATACCTTCACTTGGCAAAGGAAGGCAGCCCAGGCTTCAGCCCTTCTGGTAGGCTATCCCAACCAGACAGGCCCTATTCCCTCGCATGGAGCCTTGGCAGAGTTTGGCCAGTCCTGCTGGCCACAGGTCTTTGTGCCTTCCACTTCAGGAACTGGAGGGACCTCAACCTCTTGCTCAGGTGGCGTTCCCTGGGACACTTTGTCTCAGCTTCCTGCTGTGCTACTACCATTTATCTTCTCTGGCAGACTGCTCTGGTGTGTCCCATGTACCAAGCACAGGACTCACCTTCCCAGTTCCCACCTCTTCTCTTCTCCAGCTCCCTGCCCAAAGTGAAGTGCCTACAAATCCCAGTGCATCTCCCCCTCCCTCAACCCTTATCACATCCCTGGTATTTCTGACACTTGCTCCCATCAGAAAGGAGATCATGAGAAGCTCTGTGTCATCCCAGTTCCTTAGGGAAGGGAAAAGTATCATCTTCAGGCTAGGAGACAGCTCCAGTGTGGGGGGCTTTGTCTGTCAGTAGAGATACTCCTTCTCTCTTCTACCCCCTTTAACAGAGGATTTCCTTCTGAGCTTCAAATATTGCCTCTCTGATCTTGCAAAGCTGCTCTGTGCCATTTGTACGGCAGCAGGGAGAGGCACAAACCTGACCTTCGAAGATGACTATTGATCTACAAGGCAATGATAGCATCATGCGACACATGTATGTTACATCAGTCATTGCTAAGGAGGACGGCAGCCCTCTTGGCTTCTGCAGCAAAACCATCTCTGGGGACAAACCTCTTTCCCACGGGAGACAACATTTGGCAGTCAGCTGCTCAGCTCAGGAGCTGGTTTTGCTGTCTGCTGCACAGAAGAAACGCTTCTCAGCACTGGAACAACTAGACGATATCCGCAAGGATAATGGCCTCGCAAAAACCAAAACTTTCAGAGGTAGCTTTCTGCCTGACAATGTGAGAAATGCCCTGTAGCTTCAGGGTCCTTCTCATTGCCGTCTGTGTGTTTGTGGCCCTCAAGGACACCAGGGCTGGGGAAGGATGCCATCACAAGTGCATTCTGACAAACACAGATTTACATTCGCTCTGTGGCCAGAAAGGTTTTCTCAAACAGCACTTTGAACAAATGCTGTGCATATCTCCCACGCGTCTCTTGAGAAACCATCTTCTCACTGACTCATCTCTCACTGAAATTTCCACTGTCTATTTTTTACTTTCACCTTTAATTCTTTCCTTTTCTGTCCTGTACCCATGCCTATTCACTGAGTGGGTTGTTTGAACAATAGAAACTATCTGGTATCTTGAAGCCAAGCCTGGCTCTTCATTGCCCATCCAGAATTCCACCCAGTTCCCAATGACATAACATGACTCAGAAGGTTGACAGGACTGAGGTCCATTTCCAGCCTTCCCAATGCCATCTTCACTAGTGCTCAAAACATACCATCACCTTGAGTGGGCCTATTTTTAGTGCCCTATATTATCTCCATCTGCAATGCTCCTTTCCATCCTTTCCTCTGCAAGCACTTGGACCCCAGGAGGATGAGGATGGGGTGTGTGCGCTATCATCCAGGCATGAGGACCTGCTAAATCAGTAAGTGTTGAGGAGGTATTGATGGGAAACTGTACTACCAGCGTGGGATGGTTGGACCACCCCATTTGTAGTCCTTCCATGAGTCTGCTGAGCAGATTAGCATGGCTGGCTTCCAGGATCGTGTGGTCTGATTGCACCAAGAGACTCTTTGCCAAGCAAACAAATATTGGTGTTACTCTGTCATATGGACTGGTGCCATAAACTCTCTCCCTCTGTAATCATCACTGCTGGCATGCCAAGCCTGCTCCCCTCCCCCACACTATGGCCTTTACCTTCTCTTTGCTGCTACACCCACCTCCAGGTGATTTTTTTTTTCCTCTCTTTGCCTGTACAGCATCTTGCCATCGTGTGGGCTGAGGCTTCCCACTCTCCAGATGGCCTGGGCTGCAAATGGACCAACTGGGCTGGTACCCATCACCCCTGGACCAGCTTGGAGCACTCTGAAGGGAGGCTTGTGCCCTTGTGTACATGCAACTCCATAATTTCCTTGGCACATCTCACAAGTTTCTGGATTCCCATGGGCTCACCTGCCTTCCTTTCAGGTCTTCTTCGTGTGCTCTGAGAGGATCCTGGGTTTTTTACTTTTTTTCTTCCTTGTAGTATGAGTTGCTGATTAATGCGGAGTGCAGGATGAATTTGAGACTGATCCAGTGGGACAGCAGAAAGGTCTTGGCCATGACCCATGCTGTCCAGAAGGCAAAATGCTGTTTCTATCTGTAGAGCCTGTGATCTACCACCCAGGGGTGCCTTTGAGTTGCACAGTGGATAGCTGTGATCAGCCAGCCCCAAGCTGGGACAGGGCAGCTGTCCTACTGCCGCCTGGCAAAACTAAACCAGAGACGGAGAAAGGACAGAAAAGTCACATCCCTCGCTGTCAACAAGAAGCCACGACTTTCTTACCTGTCACTTCTCAGGTGCTCAGTGAATCAGCTCTGCCCATAATAGAGCTGAATCAACCAGCTTGGGAGCCTTGGGAAAGCCCATGTTTGCTCCTGGTGAAGAACTCCAGCACGGTCATAAAGCAAGAGTGTTGATGATTACGGCACTGAACTCAACCAAATAGGGTTGACGATGTCTCTGGATGATTTGCGGCAGAAATACTTCATCTCGGCGTATAATTTCCCTTTACAGCAGGTTTTTGAAAGCCAGGTCCGCTAGCTTGAAATATACTGAGTGACTTCTTGCTTTATAAAGGGGAGCTGATATTATTGCGATTGAAGGCAGGAAGGGAAAGAATGAGCAAAAAAAAAGACATTTCAATTCTGAAGTGGATTTTTGTGGTTGTTTTTTTTTCCCAAAGGTAGCTGGTGGCAAAAGTGGAGAGAATTAGTCTCAAAGATAGAGGGGAGCAGGCCAAGTTTCTATTTTTTTTCTTGGCCATCCGGTCTCTGCTTTTGACATTTGTTGTTGACCATAGCTAAAGTCATAGCGCAGGCTTAGCGTTGCACCACAAAACATTGCATTGCAGACTAACACACTGTGAAATCAACCCTTACTTGACACAGTCACCAAGTAAGAGAGCTCAGTCATTTTCTTCTGTAAACGGGCAGGACAGTCAATAAGCAGTGGAGGGAAACAGAGGCACGAAGGAGTAAAACAATTGATCTGAGGGTCTCTGGTGTGATAGGAGCTGCAGAAACAGCACCTGTCTCTCCTGATATCTTTTACCCAATACACCTGATTGCATCATCCGTCTTGTCTTTGTACAGACCTGCTGTGATCCAGCTGGGTAGTTTTCATGTCAGTGTTTCACAGACATCAGTACAAGGCAGGGTAAGCTAGGATAGCCTACTTGAGTTGATGGGATAAAGGATTAAGTCTTTTTTTGTGCCTTCTTCTTCTCTAAGATGAACACTATCTTGTTCCGGGCCTTGCAAGGATTTTAGCTTTGTATGGGGGAAAGAAAGGGGAAGAAATGGTAAAAGCCAAAAGCAAGCCTAGATAACAAATCTGCTATCTGCTGGCTTTAAAAGATACATAATCATTTAATTACCTTGAAGGAGGTTTTCATCTTTCCCTGCTCAGCCGATTTGCGTGTGCATGTTTTTCTTCCTCCCCCAAACAAGCTTTTTATTAAAAGGATTTTCATCTGCTGCCTAAAAAGAGAGCAGAAGAAAAGATCTCGCACCAAAGTGTTTTATGTCGAGTTGTACGTGCTAATGACAGTAAAGCCCACATAAAAGAAACAACTGCTTCAAATATTAATTTGTCAAAAGCGATAGAAAGCCGTGTGAGCCGCATGCTGGCGAGCAGCTGCCGAGGA